GGCCACTCGGCCTTTTTCTGTCGGTGGTCCCAGTTCCACCTACCTGGCAGGCGCGGGGGGTGGGGGGTGGCTCTGCCCCTCAGCAGGCCGCTGGGCCTGCTCTGTGCGTGGTCACAGTTCCCTCTACCTTGCCGGTGCAGGGGGAGGGGGCGGCTCTGCCTCTCAGCAGGCCGCTGCTCCTCTTCTGCCAGTGGGTCGCAGGCCCGCCTACCTTGCAGGAGTGATTGGAAGCTCTGTCCCGCCGCGGGCCACTGGGCCTTTTCTGTCGGTGGTCACCTGGCAGGGGCGGGGGGTGGTGGGTGGCTCTGCCCCTCAGCAGGCCGCTGGGCCTGCTCTGTGCGTGGTCACAGTTCCTTCTACCTTGCAGGTGCAGGGGGAGGGGGCGGCTCTGCCTCTCAGCAGGTCGCTGCTCCTCTTCTGCAGGTGGGTCGCAGGCCTGCCTACCTTGCAGGAGTGATTGGAAGCTCTGTCCCACCGCGGGCCACTGGGCCTTTTCTGTCGGTGGTCACCTGGCAGGGGCGTGGGGTGGGGGGTGGCTCTGCCCCTCAGCAGGCCGCTGGGCCTGCTCTGTCCATGATCACAGTTCCCCTACCTGGCAGGCGCGAGGGGTGGGGTGCGGCTCTGCCCCTCAGCAGGCCGCTGGGCCTGCTCTGTGCGTGGTCACAGTTCCCTCTACCTTGCCGGTGCAGGGGGAGGGGGCGGCTCTGCCTCTCAGCAGGTCGCTGCTCCTCTTCTGCCAGTGGGTCGCAGGCCCGCCTACCTTGCAGGAGTGATTGGAAGCTCTGTCCTGCCGCGGGACACTCGGCCTTTTCTGTCGGTGGTCACCTGGCAGGGGCGGGGGATGGGGGGTGGCTCTGCCCCTCAGCAGGCCGCTGGGCCTGCTCTGTGCGTGGTCACAGTTCCCTCTACTTTGCCGGCGCAGGGGGAGGGGGCGACTCTGCCTCTCAGCAGGTCGCTGCTCCTCCTCTGCCGGTGGGTCGCAGGCCCGCCTACCTTGCAGGAGTGATTGGAAGCTCTGTCCCGCCGCGGGCCACTGGGCCTTTTCTGTCGGTGGTCACCTGGCAGGGGCGGGGGGTGGTGGGTGGCTCTGCCCCTCAGCAGGCCGCTGGGCCTGCTCTGTGCGTGGTCACAGTTCCTTCTACCTTGCAGGTGCAGGGGGAGGGGGCGGCTCTGCCTCTCAGCAGGTCGCTGCTCCTCTTCTGCAGGTGGGTCGCAGGCCCGCCTACCTTGCAGGAGTGATTGGAAGCTCTGTCCCGCCGCGGGCCACTGGGCCTTTTCTGTCCGTGGTCACAGTTCCCCTACCTGGCAGGCGCGAGGGGGGGGGGGCGGCTCTGCCCCTCAGCAGGCCGCTGGGCCTGCTCTGTGCGTGGTCACAGTTCCCTCTACCTTGCCGGTGCAGGGGGAGGGGGCGGATCTGCCTCTCAGCAGGCCGCTGCTCCTCTTCTGCAGGTGGGTCGCAGGCCTGCCTACCTTGCAGGAGTGATTGGAAGTTCTGTCCCACCGCGGGCCACTGGGCCTTTTCTGTCGGTGGTCACCTGGCAGGGGCGTGGGGTGGGGGGTGGCTCTGCCCCTCAGCAGGCCGCTGGGCCTGCTCTGTCCATGATCACAGTTCCCCTACCTGGCAGGCGCGAGGGGTGGGGGGCGGCTCTGCCCCTCAGCAGGCCGCTGGGCCTGCTCTGTGCGTGGTCACAGTTCCCTCTACCTTGCCGGTGCAGGGGGAGGGGGCGGCTCTGCCTCTCAGCAGGTCGCTGCTCCTCCTCTGCCAGTGGGTCGCAGGCCCGCCTACCTTGCAGGAGTGATTGGAAGCTCTGTCCTGCCGCGGGACACTCGGCCTTTTCTGTCGGTGGTCACCTGGCAGGGGCGGGGGATGGGGGGTGGCTCTGCCCCTCAGCAGGCCGCTGGGCCTGCTCTGTGCGTGGTCACAGTTCCCTCTACTTTGCCGGCGCAGGGGGAGGGGGCGACTCTGCCTCTCAGCAGGTCGCTGCTCCTCCTCTGCCGGTGGGTCGCAGGCCCGCCTACCTTGCAGGAGTGATTGGAAGCTCTGTCCTGCCGCGGGCCACTCGGCCTTTTTCTGTCGGTGGTCACAGTTCCACCTACCTGGCAGGCGCAGGGGGTGGGGGGTGGCTCTGCCCCTCAGCAGGCCGCTGGGCCTGCTCTGTGCGTGGTCACAGTTCCCTCTACCTTGCCGGTGCAGGGGGAGGGGGCGGCTCTGCCTCTCAGCAGGCCGCTGCTCCTCTTCTGCCAGTCCTTATTTTTTTTTAATGGTACTGGGAATTGAATCCTGGGATACTTTACCTCTGAGCCACATTCCCAACCCTTTTTATTTATTTTGAGATAGGGTCTCACTAAGTTGCAGAAGCTAGCCTTGAACTTGTAATACTCCTGCCTTACTTAGCCTGTCAACATTTTTATCACTCTACTTTTGACATTCATTCATATCTGAGGCATACTAGGTACTTTTAAGTGAATTTTATTTTTACTAACAGGCCCCAGATTCTATTCTACTGTGATGAGGGTAGGTTTTTTGTTTTTTGGTGGTGCTAGAACTCACACACTAGGCACATGCTCTACCTCTGAACTACATCCTCAGTCCTGACAAAGCTAATTTTTTGTCAGGTTGTTATGATGACCTCCTTTTTTATCATCTTTGTTTAAATATGTATAATATTTTTAAATTCTCAGAGGATTTTTAAAAATATATCTCTTTTTATTCTGGTCCTTACACAAAAATAGACCTAGCAGAAATTGCCACATGTATTTTAAAGCAGAAGGTGAATGTACGCATTCTGTCCTGAACTAATTTTTAATGGAAGGAACTTTGGCTCTAGATTCCCCCTTCCACAACTGCATATCCATTGCTTTTCTTTTTTTTATTTATTTATTTTAATTATTTATATATGACAGCAGAATGCATTTTGATTCGTGGTACACAATTGCAGCCCAACTTTTCATTTCTCTGATTGTACACAATGTAGCATCGCACCATGTGTGCAGTCATACATGTACCTAGGGTAATAATGTTCATCACATTCCACCATCTTTTCTGCCCTATGACCCCTCCCCACCCTACTCTTTGCCCAAAGTTCCTCCATTTTTCCCATCCCCGCCCCACCCCATTATGGATCAGAGTCCACATATCAGAGAGAACATTCAGCCTTTGGTTTTTGGGATTGGCTTACTTCGCTTAGCATGATATTCTCCAGCTCCATCCATTTATCTGCAAATGCCATAATTTTATTCTCTTTTAATGCTGAGTAATATTCCGTTATGTATATATACCACAGTTTCTTCATCCATTCATCTATTGAAAGGCATCTAGTTTGCTTCCATAGTTTAACTATTGTGAATTGACCTGCTATAAACATTGATGTGGCTGTGTCCCTGTAGTATACTGATTTTAAGTCCTTTGAGTGTAGACTGAGGAGTGGGATACCTGGGTCAAATGGTGGTTCCATTCCAGGTTTTCTTAGGAATCTCCATACTGCTTTCCAAAGTGGTTGCACCAATTTGCATCCCACCAGCAATGTATGAGTGTGCCTTTTCCCCAACATCCTCACCAACACTTATTGTTGTTTATATTCTTGATATCTGCCATTCTGACTAGTGTGAGATGAAATCTTAGAGTAGTTTCTTTTTTTTGGGGGGGGGGGGCGGAAATCTTAGAGTAGTTTTGATTTGCATTTCTCTAGTTATTCATTGTTTTTCATTATGCAAAGCTGACTTGAGGTTTGCAAGTTACCAAATAAACCCTGAATCATATTCTAATTTAAGGATAATTCTGCAAGAGATTTAAAATGTCTTGCATAATTGAATACTCTCCACTCTATGCTCTGAGAAGCCTTGATTTGGGAGCTAGTCTTCCAAATATATGCTGATTCAAGTGATTAACTCATTTAACCTGAACTTACCCATCCTAGGAATCATGAGTGACTAGAGATGACTAAGCAAGCATGAAAACTTGTGTTTTCATGAGAGAAATCTTGAAACTTGTGTTTTCATTAGAGAAATCTTCTAGCTCAAGTACCTAAGAAAATGAAATTGCCCTGTACCTGCAATCACATGGCACTCCCATCCTGCCTAGATCATTTGACCTTTGAAATAGGGGCACAAGGGGCTTCTTTGATCTCTTCTGTACTTAGATGAGCAAACTTAGCAGTGAATAGACAGATGATAGTTTATATTTTACTGTGGCATATCAGATCCTCCAGCTCCAAAAAAGGGGGTGGTGGTGGCATTTGGAGAATGATTATATACATAAGCAGTTAAAGCAAAAAAGGCAAAAAATGAAGACAAACTTGCTCATGTTTATGGCTGAACATGTAACTGTCCCCTGGGGGCATTTGTACTTAAATAGAATATGAAATGAAATGATCCATTTACAGCCATTTCCTTGTATGGTTCATAACTTTGTAGAAGTGCCTGGAGGTTTGCAAGTCACTGCATAAATCTTGATAATAAAAACACCTTTTGACATACATATTCTATTATATGTGAGACATGATATTAGTAAATTGACAATAAATCTTTCTATTATTTAATCTCTTTACTGTGTTGATGAACAGATCTATTTGGTACATGTTAGTCTGTCTATCTTTGGGGAGAAGAATAGATTGAATACCTTTATATTTCATAATGGTTGGGAATTGTTAAATAAGTAATAAACCTTTTGAAATTTCAGTCTATTTATTCCTAGCAATTTTATAGTTTGAACTTGCAGATTCTCTTAAAAAATATAAGCAAGTTCCCACAAGGCTCTTTGAATACCAAATAATTCTTTAAGACTAAAGTTTGTTGAGAGTATGTGAACAGAAACATATGGCTTATAGATACTTTACTGTAGATATAGATTATAGGTCAACAGAATGTTTCTATTTGGTGATTAGCCTGTACCAGAATGTGCGGAAGAAAGTGCTGGAACGCTTTGTAGATTCCAGGATGTTAAAGTCCATTTTCTCCTTTAAGATCTGGAAATAATTGCCTAGGTTTCTTGCTGTTTGCAGATGAAGATGACTGTTCCCCCATGGGATGTGGCAGCCATGCCCAGTGTGTTTCAGAGGGAGAGAATGCCACCTGTCAGTGTTTGAAAGGATTTACCTGGGATGGAAAACTATGTTCTGGTAAGAGCAAAGGCTAAATACACATACTTGAAAATTTGTGAATTAGAAACATTCTTTTTGCTCTTAATGACTCAAAATCTTCAGAAGTAGTTATGTAATCACAGATTTAAATAGTAATTTGATGTTAATCTAAAAATATGGATGACATACATAGAAAATATGAAACATAAATATACTTACATATAATATTAACATATAATGAATTTATATTAAAATTATACAGTAAATGCAGTTGACATTAAGAGGAAGAATTTATAATGAGCTTCAGAAGCAAGAATTTAAGTTCAAGTCAAATTTACAAATTCACAAATTCCAGTGAAAACAGAATGTTTTTATGTGATTTATTTAATATTTATTTTTTAGTTGTAGTTGGACATAATACCTTTATTTTTATTTATTTATTTATTTTCTCTTTTTATTAATATTTTAAAATAAATGGCAGCAGAATGCATTACAATTCTTATTACACATATAGAGCACAATTTTTCATATCTCTGGTTGTATATCAAATATGTTCACACCAATTCGTGTCTTTGGATAATGATGTCCATCACAGTTCACCATCCTTGCTACCCCTGCCCCCTCCCTTCCCCTCCCACCCCTCTGCCCTATCTAGTGTTCGTCTATTTCTCCCATGCTCCCTGTCCCTACCCAACTATGAGTTATTCACTTTATATCAAAGAAAACATTTGGCATTTGGTTTTTTGGGATTGGCTAACTTCACTTAGCATCATCTTCTCCAACGCCATCCATTTACCTGCAAATGCCATGATTTTATCTTCTTTTAATGCTGAGTAATATGCCACATTTTTTTAATCCATTCATCTACTAAAGGGCATCTAGAATGGTTCCACAGTTTAGCTCTTGTGAATTGTGCTGCTATCAACATTGATGTGGCTGTGTCCCTGTATTATGCTGTTTTTAAATCCTTTGGTTCTAGACCGAGGAGAGGGATAGCTGGGTCAAATGGTGATTCCATTCCCAGTTTTCCAAGGAATCTCCATACTGCTTTCCATATTGGCTGCACCAATTTGCAGTCCCACCAGCAATGTATGAGTGTACCTTTTCCCCCACATCCTCGCCAACACTTATTTTTTATTTATTTATTTTTATGTGGTACCGAGGATCAAACCCAGGATTTCACATGTGCTAGGCGAGCGCTCAACCGCTGAGCCACAACCCCAGCCCCAGAACTTTTTTCTCCCACAGAAGTTTAGCCAAAGTTTTAATCAAATAAATAGATTGTCATGGATAGGTTAATATTTTTTATCAATGGCATCAAAATGATATGTTAGTGATTACTGAAAAAATATCAGTCCTTATGATCTGAAACTATGGTATGAATTGGTTTACTTACACATATTTAACTGTTTGCACAGGTAAGAACTCTGGAGAAATTAATTCACAAGTTCAGATTTGCATGATATTTGCAAATAGTATGTTAACAGCCGTATGATAAAATACAAGTTTGTTTATTTTTTCCTACTGTTGCTATTTATACCAAGCCTAAATATTTATCTAATGCACAATTTTGCCCACAGATATAGATGAATGTGAGGTGGGTAGCACAGTTTGTCCTCCTGTCTCCTCCAAATGCATCAATACAGAAGGCAGTTATGTCTGTGGATGCTCCCAAGGTTACCAAGGAGATGGAATTCACTGTCTTGGTAAGAGAGTGGTTGGCGCAGGAGGGTGGAAGAAAGCCTTGGAGAATCACAAAACATCGTGGGTGTGGTGGGCCAAGAAAAGACAGGTTGTAAAAAAAAAAAAAAAGACAGGTTGTAATTGGGGTGATACACATATCAAGACTAGAAGCGGAGTCACATGACCTGTTCTGACATATTTCATTCCTTGATAGTCACTTTTGTATTACAGCTACACTAGTCAGTGTCAAGCCTCTGACACTGGAGGCTATTTACCTCTCTGTTTTTTGTTCTTTCTCTGGGATTTGAGTGACATCAGTGTCTCTCAGTGCTCCATGCCTTGAGCCTTCATGGGGGAGTTGGACATTTCTTTGTCATTGAATTTGGCATCTGGAATGTGGTGAACTACAAATTTGATTTGGGGCTGTTGGAAGTTACTTCAGAGAAAAGGAGGTGTGGTTCCCTGAAAGGGATCTTTGGGTTTCTTGATGTGTAATAGGCAGGAGACTCAAGCCACTGACATTCAGATAGAAGTAAGAATGATTGAAACCTCTTTCATAATCACCATCCTCTACCAAGATCTGGGTGAGGCCTGTCAGGTTGGGAGTTCACTCTGTGGCTGTCTTCCACCTTTCCAGGTGTCAGTGGCATAGTATATTGTACAAGTGGAGACCTGCCTGAAGGCACCCGTTCCTGCTGCGGTGGTTATCTGAGGTTTCATAGGGCTTTAAAATTTTTCTTCCAGTGTTTTCTTTTTCTGAAAACATAAAAAAATATTTTCATGCCAGATGCCCTGATAAGAAATTCAAACTATAGTGCTTTCTTCCACATGTTAAGTTAAAAAAGAAGTATCAATCATAACTATCCATTTTCTGGATCTGGATGGTTTAAACCAAACCTTTATCAGATTAGTTCTGTGGAGTCCACAGACATTTGAAAATGCTCTTTTAAGCACATATTTGGCTGTCAGTCAGGAAAATGTCACCATTCTAATTAAGAAGGCTCATAGATAATTTACACAAACAGACTTCATATTTAATTTCCTTTGAAAAGAAGATATCCTTTCTCAAATGTTTAAACTCTTGATTCTCTGTTACTAACCCACATCTAAGATGTGCTATGGATGTCATGGTCTGACCTGCCTGGTTGGCATGGAGTCCTCAGACTCCATGGAAACTTGTGCTTGCTCCTGTTCTCTCTTGGTCCTTATCTTCTGTCTCTCTGCCTGTATGTAGATAGGTGAATATATTGCTTTCAGCCATGCCTGACACATAAGTGCTATATGAAAGTGTTGTTCTTACTACTGGAAATAGTTGTGTTTCATGGCAAGGGTACATTTTTGTTTTTGCTTTTCAGAAAAGCTCACTCTTTGTCTCGAGTTGATAGTTCATTGACATTACAACATGAGGCCAGTTAGAAAAAAAGAGTCAATTTGAACCATTCAGAACAGTAACATAATGTGATAGATAATGTATTGGTTCATATTAGGTGCAAAGATACAGTACTAGTAACTGTGAGGAATGCCAGGATGAGGGAGCCAGTCTTCTTGCAAGGAGAATATGATCTACAAGAAACACAGCTGTGATAAGTGGTTAAGAAAGATGTACATTATAAGAGATATAAAAATCATAGTGGAAGTTTAAAACTGGAAGAAATATGTTTGAGGTATTGGGAACTCTTTCATGGAAGAATGTCATTTTAGAGGGACTGTGGGGAATGAGTAAATATTAATCAGACAAAAATGTGAAGGTAGGAAGTATTCTAGGCACAAAAAATCATATACCTTATTGGTGAGTAGATAATAGGTTTGGGGTTGGGTGGTGGGGTGGTGTTGCCATAACAAAGTATTAAAGTATCATAGACTATAGCTTATACAACAGAAATTTGTTTTCTCAGTTTTGGAGGCTGAAATTCCCAGATGAACAAGCTGGCTGGTTGGTTCTGGTGAAGGATCTTTCCCTCTTGCAGACGTCCACCTTCTTGCCACATTCTCACGCAGCTTTTCCTCTGTGGTGTGCAGAAGGAGAAACAACTCTGGCGCTTCTTCCCCTTCTTTTAAGGACACCAGTCCTATTGGATTAGGGCCTCACCCTTCTGATGTCATTTAACCTTAATTACCTTAATCTTTATACACCCTATCTTAACATACGATACATTGGGAGTCAAGGCTTCAACATGTGAATTTGTGGGGAGACACTATTCAGTCCCTAACAGATGGATTGGGTTACATTTGTGCAAGATTAGAACCCAAGGACCAGTCATTCGTGTTTTCTCTGGGCCAAATTTCATACTAAATTTTGTAGTAGTCGCATGAAAAAAACAAAAAGGAAGAGTTGGAATTCATTTTAACCATTTATTTATTCTAATTCATTTAAAATATGAATGTTTTAATATGTAATCAACATAAAATTATTGGATTTTTATGTTTTATTTTAGCATTGTGTCTTCCAAATCTGGTATGTGCTTTATGCTTACAGCAGATCTGTGTGAACGAGGTGCATTTCAGGAGCTCAATGCTTCTGTGTTGCAGTGGCTTTCATATTAGACAGCACAGTGGTAGGAACAAAGAGCCACTGGCAGCATTTCAGTAAAGAGGTGCAGTAATGGGTTATCATCATCCTGGTCTAGGAAGAATTATCTGGCATTGGTGTTTAGGAGTGCCCTGCGGAAGACATGGAATGCAGAAATATAGTGAGACTGTTGTAGCCAGAAATTACCTGAATATTAGGGTGGTGGCAGTTGAGAAAGAAAAGTGTGTGTGTGTGGGGGAGGTAGTTGGGAAAGAAAGGATGCTTTATTTATATGGTTCATGTTTATGTTAAAAAAACAAACATGTTAAATTTGATATAACATTTATGTCAATGGCTGGATGTCTGTTTACAAAAGTTAAGTATGAATTTTGGGATCTTAACTTCTAAATGTTTGCCTGGAAGTAGTTTACCAAACTCCAATTTGGCAAAGTCTCCTTTCTTTCCAAGCAGAAGAAAGAAACCCTCTGTCAGGAGCCTAGAGCACCTGAATGGGTATGCAGCCAACGATTCAGTTCATCTCTTTCTCTAGCATTCATATTGGAACCCCTAAAAACGTGTAGGGCTCTGAAAACATGAAGTTGAATATAACCACCTTCTAAAATGTTGGACTTTCCAGTTGCATAACACTCTTTCCTTCCTCTGCACTCCACTCTTCCCCATTCCCATTTTCTGACAGATATTGATGAGTGCCTCCTGGGGGTTCATAGCTGTGGAGAGAATGCCAACTGTACAAATACAGAGGGAGGCTATACCTGCATGTGTGCTGGCCGCCTGTCTGAACCTGGACTGTCTTGCCCTGGTAGGTTGTTGGTGGGTGGTCTAGATGGAAGGGAAAAGACTTGGTTCAGGGAAATTCTGTACCCCAGTATATTTGCATTAGAGATTCTAGAAATCATTCGGTTTGACCAGGCTGGAGAGCTGACTTTACTCTTTGTGTTGATACTGGGCTTGAAAACTTGAAATGGTCCAGGCCTTCTTAATTTAATAGCATCTGGAATAAATCCTTTTTTATTACTTGCAGTTCAATATAGGTGAGTACCCAGGTGGTTCCCTTTAACTATGTGACTAATCTCCTGATTTGTAATGTTGATTCCTGGGGCTCCTGGAAAAACTTTGCAGGGCAAAGCAGGTTTTAAGTATGCCTGGATTTTAAATAACGTATTTTATTTATTCTAATATATCCAAATAGTAACATTTTAATATGAAATCAGTATAAAATGAGATATTTTACATTCTTTTCAATTTTGGTAAGAAGACTTCCAAATCTGGTATGTGTTTTATACTTAGAGCACATTTTGGTGTAGGCCAGATGTATTTCAGGAGCTCAATGATCCTGATTTGCAATGGCTGCCATGTTGGACAGCACAGCTGTAGTGACAGAGCCACTGGCAGCACTTCAGTGAAGTGGCGCAAGGATGGAGAATAGGGAAAATAATCACTTGGTAGGATTTTAAAATGCTACTATAAAAAGTCGTTATTTCTTGATCTAAAATTAGCATTCCAACTCTCTTCACTTTCTTTTTAAACATTCATTGCAGTTGACTTTTGCTTCCTGAACTTTTTCCCATAACAGCAGTATCTTCTTAACCCTCAGCACCCTAAATGGGGAGCTGATTTCACCTAGAACCTGGAAGGATGGGTCCTTCCTCCCACTGCCAGCTGCTTGCCTCTCAGCTCTGCAAACAAAAAACATCCTCAGAAAAGAAATTTCTGCACTTGCCTGGGCTCTGTTTTTTAGCATGTTATTTTTCTCAGATAATTTGTTCTTCTTAAAGATATTGAAAACCTTCTTTATATAGTCAGCTACACATCCTGATGTTTTTCTTTTAGTCCATTTTGTCCCATCATCCCAGATGTGAAACACCTACAAAAACTTAAATATAGTACATAATATATAATATAATTATGTTAAAGTAATAAGAATATACTCATAATATTATAATACTTATAATGTATATAAGCTCTATATTATAATTTACCACCTCTTTTAATGCATCTATATCAATTTTATTGAAATATTTGCAGAATTGAAAACTTGGGATTTAATGGATTAAAGAGTAGTGAATCATTCAAAAAGAGATCTTACCATTTTGGCATTCCTCTGCTATAGAAACATTTCCTTCCTGCTAAAGTTGCCACAGTCTGCTCTCTGAGGGTTCCCCTAAAAGTTTAATAGTTTTTAGAAGAAAATATTGTATGGGAGAAAATTTTGAGACTCCCAGGATTTGGTGGGTAATGGACTGTTTATTGGTGAGATAGTTTAAAGACAAACAAACACCAGCTGTTCCATGACACCTTAAAGCTAGCTATCATTTCACACAATCAGTTTGTGTTTCTGGTTATTATGTGTTTTTGAATGACAGACTTGCTTTTATATGAGATCAGTGACGTAATCCATATGGGGATTTAGGATGGCCATTTTCTTATTTGCCTCCAATATACCTCAGAATATCTAAAGAAATAAGAGTTAACTTCATAGTGAATGGCATAAAGTCTGCTTGGTAAGGAGAAACTCTTGTTGCTCCTGATAGCTCTACCATTACTGAGAGACATGGTATCACAAATTGTTCACAGAAACTAATTCCTGATATTAATACTTAAAAAACCTTTATCACAGAAAATAAAAGTGATGTCTATGATTCTTCCAGACTATACACCACCCCCTACCCTCCAGGAAGATGGCCACCATCTGGTCAGAAATAGTTACCCAGGATGTCCTGAGTCACATGATGGGTACTGCCTCCATGGTGGAGTATGTATGTATGTTGAAGCAGTAGACAGCTATGCATGCAAGTAAGTCCAGTTCTTCCTGACAGCACCAAGGTGCTATCCTAGTCCATAATGTTTCACTAATTTGTAGAATTATATGTAGGAGATTTTTTTCATAATTAGATTTTTTTTCCTTAGGAAAACATGAATACATAGATTATGGTGTGTGGGTGCACACCTCAAGGCACTTTCCTTGCATATATATCACCACCTCCTCCCAGTCACCAGTGGTAAACATAAAGGAAAGTAATTGGTGATTTTCCTTTTATTTAAATAATTGCTCAAATGGTCTAGGAATTAAATTTCTCATTCTGCTTGAAAAACATGTTTGTGGAGAATTTCTTAAAACTTTGATTTATTCTCTGTCAAATAAATGGAGAACATTCACAATATGTTTTTATATTTACAAAAATGTTGTACATATTCACATTGAACTTTTTACCTTTGCTTTTCAAAACTAAAATAAATTTTTCTTCACTTCCTAGTGGTTGATTCTTACATTTTTATTGTTTAGTCACAATTGTTGAGAGCTGCAGGTATTGTCTTCCGCTCCCTTTTTTTGCCACATGAGGGTTTCACCATGGGCAAAATGGTACCCTGAAATCGGATTTGAGGAAGACATAAAACAATGAAGTATTCCCACAGGGCTCACTCAGAACACCTTTCCTGTGGAGCCTTTAATAAAACTCAAGCTCACAATAGCTAGTTCTACACCAAATCTTACTTTTAATGAATTTCACATTTTCCAGGCAATATGAGGGACCCAACTAGAGAAAAATAAATAGGTCTCCTGTGTTTAGACCCCTGTCTCATTGATAATTTTCTCCGAGCCTGAAGGAGTGATAAAATATTCTGACTCTCATGAACAGATACTACAAGTTTAAAGACATTAATGATTTTATCAATAATAATGCACAGAAACATAGTCTAAATTATTTATGGAGGAAGTTATATTCTGTGACAGAATGTGTGTGTGTGACCTTGCATTACAAATCATGTCAGCATGGCAAAAATTTGAAAAACGTTCGTGAAGATTAGTCAAAATGACTCAGTTCTAATGAAATTCTGCTTTCATTTTTATATTTACCCCTATAATTTTAAACCTATGATAACTTGACAAATTATAGTAGTATACTTGAAATTAATGTTCTTTAATATTAAGAAATAAACAATTTTTACCTGTTCATGATTTCTTATACCCTCAAGTAATGAAATTACAGAAACAAGTGTCCTAATTCATTAGGTCTTATTTGTTTTCTTCCATGGTACTTCAGGTCATAAAAATCATTACAATGACCAAAAAAAAAAAAAAAAAAAAAAGGTTGCTGTATTGCATTTAGTACAGTATTGCATTTAGTATGAGTTCTTGAGCACAATGCTTTTCTTCCTATCATTAAATCCTGATGAAAATATCGTATTTCTCTAATAATGTTTTAAACTAGAATTTGTTCAAAATGACAAATTAGATGACATTCACCTTTAATTACCTTTAGTCAAAAGCAATATTTAAAACTATTATCAGTATACATAGTAATCTGGACCATAACTTTGTTTTTGAGTTGTATATTTAGTAAAAAAAAAAATGTGGTTTAGTCAAGTATTCAACCCTTCCCTCCTTTTGCCCTGCTGATCTCACCTAGTATTTTATTAATTCTATAACAAAACTCTAGGGAGTGCTTTCCAGCCCAGCTTTATTGGAAACACTGCATCTTTTGCCACAGAGCAGGTTTTTATTCTAGGGTTTTTAAGGGGCCGGCTCTTCCTTCTTTGCCTGGAGACAGTGGGAGTTCCCCTCAGAGACCTGAATGCAGAGGAAGTGAGCCATGGAGGTATCTGTGCCCACACAGCTCCTCCAAGCCTTCCTGGCTTGGAGAGTCTCAGGAGGCCCCAAAGCTCTTAAGCTCAGAGAAGATCCCCCTTCGTTCTGGTTTAGCTTTGACCAGACACACTGTTGCACATCTTCTTTAGATGAACATCCCCTACACCAGTCTGTGCAATGTTTCTTGAAGACAGGGTTGCGTGACCAAATCTATTTGAGAAACATTTCAGATTCCAACCTTCAATTCTTGATACATAGCACACCACCAACACACTATCAAGTCTTGTTTACCTTTATTTCATCTAGAATGTCTTGAAATTATTTGACTGTAGAAATTCAAACTTAATTGACCAGAGAATCTTTTGTTGGTTTAGCACAAGAACCAATTAATAGTCTAAAGGACTCGTGATTTGTGTCCTTCTCCCTCGTAAACTGGGGACTGTTCTGGGCCTTGTAAGACAGAAAGGCTCTGCTACTGCAACCTGTCTTAGCTCTCAGGATCCTTGGTCGTGTGATGGACATCCTTAAAACCCTCAAGTCTCTGAGAGGTCCAAAGGTATGGCTCATTAATATCAAAGAGTTTAAAAGTGGCTGATAGGCATTGATAGTAAATAATTATAACCAAAGATAGCTAGAATCAAAGTAGTACCCAGGAAAGCCTAGAATAACCTAATGGTCTTTTATACATCTACAAATAAAGCTTGAAGCCTTTTTTGGAAGTAGCATGGTATAATAGGACACAGGCTTTGACATAAAAGAGTAACTTGAATCAAACCTTCCATTCATTAGCTATGTAGCCATGTACAAATTACTTAATTCTTTGAGCTTCAGTTTCCTCACCTGTAAAATGAGAACATGCCATCAAAACTAAAATGTGTTGAAGTGCCTAGTAATGATGTCAGACACATAAGAGGCTTAACAAATGCTTGTTGCTTTCCCTCCTTTCTCTCAAAGTGACTTGCCAAGCTCCTGTGATAACGTAAGGGTAGAACTAGGAATGGACAGATCTTTTGGAGCTAGTTCAGTGTTTTTTCCCCAGGCTGCTGCTTCCCATCAAAGGAGCTGATTTGAGTTATCTGTGTATTCATCCCTTCAGTTCTTTGGGGAATTTGTAATACCATGTTTTTAAAGTTAATTCTCTTAAAACAAATATCATAATACAGTTGTTTACCCAAGATCCCAGTTGTTTCTGGAAATGAGCATTCTCACTAGATGGCAGCATTGTTTCATCTACTTTGAAAAATTCAACTGTAAATCAATCACTGATGATTCTAGTTACATTGTATTAATGAGACAGTAAGGCATTTGTGAGTGAATGTCCCTTTTTTCCCTCTGTTAGGTATTTTCTCCTTAATAAAATAAGAAAATTTTTGTGTCATCACTGTGAGCTTCTCTTGGGTCATTGTCCAGTGGTGATTAAAAAGGAAAAAAATTTCTTTCCTACCTTAGGTTGTGCTTCCTGTTCAGGGGCTACATGTGTTCTTCCTTTTAGTTTGCTTTCAAGTGAGGGAATCTGCCTTCAAATTCTTCTTTCCTTTGACCTTTGTTCATTGCAATCTGGCCAAACATTTGTTTCCCAAACTCCCCTGGCTCTCAGGGCTGAATTGCTTTGTGTTGGTTTTAAAAGGTGGCTCCTCAGGATTTTAGCCTAAGAGAAATTGATCTTTAATCAATGTTCTGTAATACCTTATAGAGGCAGTATGCAAATAATTTTCCATCAATCCCAGGGCAAGCAGACTAAAAGGGGCAGTCTGTGTGGCATTAACTTATAAACCGTAGTGCTTTCAGCTGACCCCTGATGGATTTTCCATGTGCTTCTAAAGAGATGAGTCTGGGAATGCAGAGATGGCTGGCTATTGAGTCTGAAGACTATCAAATGCCCTTGGCCAGGGTCTCTGATGACTTCTGTTTGTATGTTGCTATAGCTGTGTTATTGGCTACGTCGGGGAGCGATGTCAGCACCGAGACCTGAGATGGTGGGAACTGCGCCATGCTGGCCATGGGCAGCAGCGGAACATCACCGTGGTGGCTGTCTGTGTGGTCGTGCTGGTTCTGCTGCTGCTCCTGGGGCTGTGGGGTGCTCACTACTACAGGTGACCCTTTCTTCCCATTGGTACCTTCAAACCTCTAAGTCCTCCCAAGGGAACACCTGCCTCCTCAGGATGCCCCTTATCTATCTATGGACTACATTTTAATAATAAGTAGTAATAATAGGTAGTAGTAGGAGTAATAGGTTTCTAAAATCCAGGATTTTACTGCCCTAAAATATCAGTGCATTCATTTATTTTTCTTGTTCCATTCTAGTCTTTGTCCAAATATAGTTCAGGTGTCTGTTTACTTTTTTTTGTGGTGCTGGGGATCATGACCAGGGCCTCGCACATGTTAGGCAAGTGCTTTAACACTAAGCTGCATTCCCAAGCAATGTGCATTTTTAAAAATAAGTTATACTCCATGTATGTATACCTTCATTTTATTTATTTATTTTTATGTGGTGCAGAGGATCGAACCCAGTGTCTCACATGTGCTTCGTGAGCACTCTACCACTGAGCCACAGCCTCAGCCCCAGAAGTGTGCATTTTTGAATTCCAGTTTCTTCTTTTAGCATCCCATGCTCTTCTTGCCCCTGCTCCCAGCCAATGTAACTATAATTTTTCATGACTGCCTTTCACTGAGTTAATTTCACACAAAATATGGCCTTTTATTAAAGAAAATCAGTATCTTCTCTAACTTTGGAAGGATGTTTCTGATCCTTGAATTTTATATTTTTCATTCATTTAAAGTTAACAGTTAAAAACCAAGGAATCATAACACACTTTTAATTTTTTAAAAATCACACTACAGTAAAGGTATAAATAGGCATCACCCTGTTCATTTTGCATTTCCTTAAGTAGAACATTGCTGGGCATGGTGGCACATGGCTGTTAATCCCAACTACTTGGGAGACTGAGGCAGGAGGATCACAATTTCTAAGCCAGCCTGAGCAGCTTTGTGATAGCTTGTCTCAAAATAAAATCATAAAAAAGGACTGAGGGTGTAAGCTCCATGTTACAGCACTTGCTAGTGTGTGTGAGATCCTGGGTTCAATCCCCAGTACCATAAACAAACAAACAAACAAACCAAAAAACCTAGAAGACTTTGGGCTGATGGTGACTTTATGAGATTATCTAGTTCAATAATATCATTTTATGGCTAAGAACCTGAGACCCACTTAACTCATAGGTTCCAATTCTTTGAGAATGTACCAATACCTGCTACTATCTTAAGATAAAAATCCAACATCATTCACTTGTACTACACAACCACTCATGTCTTTTTTTTTTTAAACTCAATATATGAGCCAAGATACTCTTCCTTGAGATCCTGCTATATTCTAGTGTAGTGGTTAAGAGCATAGGTTTTGGAATCACGTCACACAGCTTCTAGTCCCAGTTAGTGCCCAAATAGGACATCAGACATATTTAATACCTGTATTCATTTATTTCCTTTGCTATAAAATAGGGACAAAAATAGTATTTATCTCAAGGGTTATCATGAGATTGAATTAATCAAAGTAAAGAGTTTAGTGTAGGCCTGGCATATTGAGTTTCATAAATGCTGTTACTGTGATTATCTGTGAATGATAATCTTCCCAATCAGATTCAGATACTCTAAGACTTTTAATGCCAACTCCTGAGAGACAAGATTCTCAGGCACAAACTTGAAATTTTAATTCAGTGGTCCACCTAGTAATATTGCACTTTTTAAAATTTTTGTTCTAATTAGTTATGCATGACAGTATAATTCATTTTGATATATCATACATAAATGGAGTATAACTTTTCATTCTGCTGGTTGTACATGATATAAAATCACACCGGTCATGTAATCATATGTGCACATAGGGTAATAATGTCTGATTCATTCTTCTATCCTTCCTACTCCCAAACCCGCTTCCCTCCCTTCACTCCTCTAGGTCTAATCTAAAGTACATTGCACTTTAAAATATATATATTAGTCTTAGATGGTCACAATACCTTTATTTTTATGTGGTGCTGGGGATTGAACCCAGTGCCTCATGCATGCTAGGCAAGCACTCTACCACTGAGCCACAACCCCAGCCCAGCTACAACCCCAGCCCTACATTGCACTTTTTAAACTGGTATTTAAACTCAGATGTTTTAGAAAAGAACATTTAATGATCTATATAGGTCATTCCACTGGACAATATGCCAAAACAAAGGTAGATCTTGACAAATAGTGTAGAAAAAGTTGGAAAAAAGAAACAAATTCATGTGTGCTATAATTATTTTTCTCTGTTTGATGTATTATGATGTTATTATGTCTTACATTATACTGACATCTTTCAGAGATCTGGATTGAAAACTAAAGGCAAATTGCTAGATTTGTTTAATTGGAGGTGTGTGCGTGTGTGTGTGTGTGTGTGTGTGTGTGTGTTTCTGGGGATTGAAACCGGGGCCTCACATATACCATGCAAGTGCTCTACCACTGATCTACATCCCCATCCCATTGGCTTGGAATTCTAAGCAGCACAGCAGAAAAATTCAGAGACTTTACTTACAAAGACGAATGTCTTTAGATTCAGTGCTCTTATTCCTAAAATCAAAAGTGGTAAGGGCTGTTACTTCAAAAAGAAGGCTCATCAGAGCCCTTTCTTTTTCTTTTCACTGAAATCTATCCAGAATTGTAAAATTCACTGGGAACAGATCTGTGGTTATTTACTGCACTGTGCTGATAAGAGTGGCTGCTTACCGGCTATTTATCTTCAGCTATGTGCTTGACCACATGTGCACTGTTGATAGACCTCTTCTGACAAGATAGTTGTCCCTGGCCATCAGTGAGTGGGATGAATGGTTTGTTTTGAGATTGTATCAAATTTTGGCTTTATCTCAGGACTCAGAAGCTGCTATTGAAAAATGCAAAGAATCCCTATGAAGAGTCAAGCAGAAACGTGAGCCAAGGCAAGCCTGCTGAAGGAGAGGCTGGAATGTCTTCTTGCCCCCAACCTTGGGTAATGTGACCAAAGTAGACGAAGCCAAGAAGTGGGTTGATATACATCCCAGTTCACTTTTTCTTCTCCTTTACTGAGTTTGGAGCAACTGGAATCTGTTATAACTTTCAACTAGTATCTGTGTTAGCCAACACTACATCAGCTGGGGAGGGTTAGGGGTGGGATGGTGGAGGAACTGTGTCCTATATTAAGGGAATCTGAATTAAAATACCATCCTAATTTAATGGCAAAAGAATTGTAGGGGATTTTTTTTCTATGTATACCTTTTTCTTATGACTTAAATTATTAGGTTATGTGAAGTTTTCCCCAAATTTTAGGTGATCCCTTTCACATGGATATCTTAAAAATTCAAGATTATGCTCCTGGCATTCTTAATATTTTTTCCTCATGCACATTTTAAGTCCCTAGACTTCAGTAGCAAAATAGTTTCCAGATTAACAAAAATACAGGATGCTTAAATTCATACTTATAATGAAAGTTCAAGTTTAATTCGAAGGCAGATTTGAGTTAGTCAATTGGCTGTTTTGTATTTTATCTGTCAACCCTGAATGTTTTCCAAAAAACATACTAGATCTAGAAATTCAAGATACTTGGCAGGTCATCTGCTTCAGTATTGATTTCAGACCACTAGAGGGAAGACTTGCGACAAGCTAAACTCTTGATGCTGGGAATTTCCATTTCCAGAAATCCATCAGAGAACTGATTGAGTGTGCTCTGTTGGTGTATCTGTGGTGTATGTTGCAGAAAAGCTTGGAATATGTAGCAGGCCAGGGAGGATTGAAACCTTAGGGAAGAACTGTTAGGAAGAAGTTTTGCAGGGGGAAAGGCAATGTTTGGAGCTCTTTCCACGTATCTGTACTCCCCTAACCCCACCTCACAATGCATCCCAGAGGGTAACTTTCTTGTGATTGAGCTCTTTACTAACAAGTGATCATGTGTTCCTACTGTTATAGGCATTCAGTGTTTACTTGTTTTTTTGGTAGAGTTTGAGTATAGAAATAAGAAATGTGAGATCTCCCTTACTACCTGGCTATCTTCAGCAAGTCCCTTAAGCTCTAAGGATCTTGCTTCCTCTTCAGTACAAGGGACTTAGATTAGATGGTCTCTCAGATCCCTTAAGTCTCTGTAAGTGCCACAGTATGTGATTCTGGGAGGATTTACCTGTAGAATTTGCTCAGTTCTTGGAAGCCTCCTGACTGTGGACTTTGGAAGTACCCACATTGCTTTGCAATCTGTGTGGTATTTCATTTAGGTTTTGGATGGCAGGTTTAGCTTATCTAATTTAAATCAGGGGAAATAAGGAGAAACACAATCCTTTATTTTTATTTGTTTTATTATTTTTTAAAAATATTTATTTTTTTGGTTGTAGTTGGACATGATACCTTTATTTTATTTATTTATTTTTATGTGGTGCTGAGAATTGAACCCAGGGCTTCAAACGTGCTAGCGAGCGCTCTACCACTGAGCCACAACCTCAGCCCTATTTATTTTATTATTATTATTAATTTGTGTGTGTATGCTTTAATTAAACCCAGGGCTTCACATGTGCTAGGCAAGTTCTGAGCTACATTCCCAGCTCAGAAACATTTGCTGCATGTCACTTGCTTGTTGGCTCAGTGCTGTTAGGAAACGCCTGGGCTGCTGAGCTCTGTCCTCCCCAGCTGTCATAAGTGTCATCCACACCAACTGCTGCTGCAGATACCAGAGGGAGTGGGAGAGAGCTGAGTACCCAAACTGGAAGGAGAAGCAGAAGAAACAAATCTGGTTCCATCAGCTGCCTTCCCCATCTCAGCCCAGAAATTTGGGTCCTGTGTTCTTCCAGCAGAGAGGCAAATGGTTGGAACATTTGTGGTGTAGAGGGAGGGATTTTGACTTGAACCAGAAATAATGGGCCTGTGCCCTTAAACAGTGGTCCCATATTGGTTTTGCAAAATGTTTCTGCAGAGAGACCATTAATAAGGAGAAGACAAAGGGTGATTAGTGTTGTGGAAAATGAGAACATATGTTCATGAGATTTACCCTTTTATTACCAACATTCCCCTCTCTTCTCCCTAATTGACTCCATTCATCATCCATTCCTATACTTTTATAATTTCAAATTCCTATTCTCTTGATTCTGGGTTCTGGGCTTCTTCCTGTGGAAGGCCCATTTCTGAACCAGTGGAGCATGGTCAGTCAGAACTTTGGGCAGTCCCTCTACTGGGTTACTGATTGACAAAGAAGGATTTCAGCCATCTGTGTCCTTTATCCTAGAGCATGGGTCACTTCTTTCTTTTATTTTTTTTTCTTTTATCATTGATCTATTTTATTATCTAATCTATCTAGCCTCAGAGCAAGCCAGTGAACTCTGCTCAGCCTGCATTCCAAGTGCCCGATCAGTGTTAGACAATCCAAATAATGAAAAGAATGATCATTTTTGTTGACTGAAGAGAAATGTTTTTTTCTGGGTCTCCCTTTATAATTCTGTTTCCCAGTCTGTTTAACCGTAAGAAAACATTTGATGGATCTCTGCAAGATAGTATTTGCACTATTAGTTATTAGTACTTATATTTAAATGAATTTGTGTGTATATGGAAAGTGATATACAAACATGTATGTGATATTATTTGGCCAATGAACAATGCTTAGAATACTTATGGATTCTTGGATTATTTATAGTAAAATGTTAGCCCACAGGGATCCATGCCCCAAAACTGGGATTCCAGAATTAGAATAGAATCTTCAGTACAGATATTGGTAGTGTCCAGTTGCTTTAATAGAAAGTAGCATAGAGTTTCTAATTTAAAATGGAGTCTTTCATGAGCTAGAGAAATAAATTTGACAGACTCTTTTTTCTGTTGTCTTATGTAGGATAAGGTATATGAATATGATAAAGCCATAGGTTTTAATTGATGTATGATGGGATGGTTTGTGAATTATAACCATAACTTCTCTTTTCCTTTTCTTTTCTATAGTTTGTGGTCATAAAGGAACATCAAGACATCAGGAATGGGAGTCAGCCTTCCGCTGGCAAGGATGGCCAGGCAGCAGATGTTGTCCAGTTATCCTCCCTGGAGCTTGGTGAATGGTTATCTTTATCTGGATCATGAGTGTTTTTCAGTGAAAAGTCTCATCTAACCAGAAAAACAGTAGTAAAATTATATAAGTTATGTGGGCATCTGGGTTGTATTTAAATACCATAGAGCTTTAGAGAAACAAATTTGGACTGTATTTTTGTCTTATATGAGATTACCATGTTCACTAAAACTCTAGTCACATAGCAGTCTGCTAGGTCACTTTGAGCAAGTGCTCAGTGAGTGACTTCTTATTTTGAATTAGGGTTTTAAGGTCGTTCTTGGGTTTGGAATCTGTATGGATAGCTGTCAGTATAGATCCAGTGTAAATGGCTTCAAGAAAATGTGTTTATGTTCTGGTGGGAAGGATTCCTGTGAATGTAAGTTGATCTGGAGATTTCAGAGTATTCAAGTCTTATCAGGGGCTAGACCTCGGCCAGATCCCTGGCTGGCTATGAAGTCCAGTCAGGCCACAGAGAGACAATAAAATCAACCCAGGTTCTCAAACTGTTCTAGAACTCAGTCTGCTTCAGGTAGAAATGGAGTTAAATATCCTCTGACATAGCACTTTTGCCAGGAGTTGTATTATGGTAAATCTCTTGGGCTGTGTCTTAGATAGCATTATTGTTTTTTCATAGCCTGGAGGACATTATTGAACATGCTTTTGTGTCATAAGCCTTTGAAAAAGCTTAGAGAATCTTTGTGCCAACAAAAACATTTCCACTGCTAATAAAATATCAGTTCTACTTTATTTTCTGATATTTGCCCTTCATACTTATTACCATAACCTTCTTTTCAGATTTCCTTATAGAGAGAACATAGGCTTCTTATTCTGGAAAAGTCACTCTAAAACCTCTCTTGTACACATGCTTCCAGGTAACCCAAAATACTAAACTCAGTAAATCCTTATTGCCTAATTTGAACAAGGCCTGGATGTTAAGCTACACTTAAGACTTGACTATAAAAACCATAAATACCACAATAAGTAATATATATATATTACTGTTGCCTGGATAATTTAAAAATTCAGCATTTTGAAAAGCTGCTTGTTTTTTGTTATTTTTTGTTTTTTGTTACTACTAGAAAGTAACAGCATCTATGTGGTTACATAGAACTTTTTTTAAGCATCTAAAAGCACATACTTCTTTTTTATGAAGGTAATTTACTTTAGAGGTACATATTATATAATTTTTCAAGTCACTCACCAGCACAATGTTATGATAAGAATGTGGTTACATTTAGAAAAAAACTAAAGACTCATTATAGTTAGCTGTGTAGTCAGGGATAGTTTAGAATGTCTACTTTTTTTGTACTCTGCTATAAACAATTTAACCCATTTTATGGGGCCACTCATCTAACTGTCTCCCAATATGAGTAATATATCCCCGATCAGCTGCCTGGGGTGAAAGTGTGCTTGGGGAAGGAGATAAAGCTCAATTTTGGCTTTGAGCCAATCCCTTCTCTGTTCTTAGAAAGTCCTTGAAAACATAGTACTTGTGGTAGATTCATAGAGTCATTTTTGTTGACCTTAGCCAATATCAACTGGTGCAAGTTAAGTGCAAAGTAACTTGCTAGGGGCAGAAGACCACACTGAGAGAATGGGATAAAAGTGCACTGAAAACTTGAGTTTGTTCCAAAGTAATTTATGGTCCAGATGTGGAGACAGGAAGTACACAGAGAAAGCCAAAGAGCAATATCAGGTGCATAGCTCTTTGGATTTTCTCAACCAACCAAGACAGTTTTAATTTTTGAAATTGAGTCCACAATAGTTTGAGAATGTGTTCTTTTTGTATTTCAGGCCAATTCTCAAACCCCAGTTTTTAAGGGTCTCTTTTGTTGGACCTTGTGAATAATGTGAATACTAAATTTCTTTTTTTTTAATTTGCTTTTTTTCTTTTTTATATAGGGTCAGTGCAGCCATGGAGACAGGAACCCCATATACCTGGAATAGGCACAGAGCAAGGCTGCTGGATCCCACCATCCAGTGACAAAAAGTCTGGTCTCCAGGTAATGGAGTGAAACTATCCTCTACCTTCCTATGAAGTTGAGATGCCCCACCTTTCTCCAGTCATTATAGCCACAAAGATCCACCATGCCAAATGGAACTGACTCAGTGACAACTGGAGTTAAAAGGGAGGTCAAGAACAAACCGTGTTGATGGACAGTATATTTTTCTTTCAAAAAGTAGAATACTAAAGATTTTGGTTCCACAATCTCAATGTTACTTACCTAATCAGGGTTCTAGAGGCAGATGTGTAGTTGTGCTTTTGTGTTTTCCTCCAAGCAATCCCATTTCTGATTTTCAAAGAAGAGCGACCAGGAGAATTGGGACAATTGTGCTTAATGAACTGTGGTGTATTTAATAGCCAATACAGATAGATTTTTTTTCTTCCCTGCACCCTCAGAATAAATCTGAGGATAAAGCAGGTTTGGTCAGTTACAAAGTAATTTCTTTGATCTGGATAGTATTCTGAACTCAATTTCATGAAATGACTGGAATATTATAAAATTACTGTTTAGATACATTGAAGGAATTTATTAACTATTGGTCCATGCTAGTAATTTTGCAGAATGAATTATCATAAATTAATGAAAAGTACAAGAATTTACAACTTGATTTTTTGCTGAATGAGATTACTTATTTTTATATTTTTAAAATCTTTGAATGAAATCATTTAATTTTTAAAGCATTTCCCCAAAGACATCAGTATTTCTCAATCATTATTATTCTTACAGCATTACAGCATTTTTTCCCATGAAAATGTTAAATTCTTCCTTTGTGTGTTTGCACAGACTTATTTTTCACATATGAGATTGTAAGCAAATTCCCTGATTTATTTTCATTTTCATTATGGATGGCAATCAGTTTCTTCTAATTATTTAAATAAAATCACCATAAAACATAAACATTTTACTGTACTCCTGATTAAGTAGTTAATTATAGTTGTTGGTGGTGATAGAGTTGAACCAAAGTGATTTGCCACCCTTATTTGCCAACCTTATTATAATTTTTTTTTTAAGTTTGAATCTATAACTCTGACTTCTAAAGTAAAATTTTATATTATTCTAATTAAGTATTTTCCTTGCAGCAAATGCATTGTTACTACACATAACACAACTTGCCTAATGCAATAATTTTGGATTGTTTGGGGCTTTGGATTATCCAGTTTATGCATTAACTAGTCCCTTTGTCTATTTTTGTCTTTCATTTCTCTTCAACACCCCAGATTTTGGTTATAGTAGAAAATCAGAATTAAAAATAATTGAAACTTGTGTTTTCAAGTGGATATTTTATAGAAATTTTGGTAAAGATTTGGTGATGGGGAGGATGACTTAAGGTTTATGGGTATTAATTAACTATTCAGTATGACATTCTTCCCAGCTAATTTTTTAAATATTTATTTTTTAAGTTATAGGTGGACACAACATCTTTATTTTTATATGGTGCTGAGAATCAAACCCAGTGCCTTGCGCATGGTAGGCGAGCACTCTACCTCTGAGTCACAACCTCAGTCCCCCCCCCCAGCTAATTAATATTTTGTCAGTGTTTTGTTTTGCTTTAATTAATAACTGATATTCTAGAGGATCAGGAGACATATTTATTTCTGATGAATTAATTGACCTCAGAAAAAGAATAGCCATAATTTCCCCCAAGTTTTTCTTTCTTTATTTGAATGTTCTTGTTGTTGTTGTTTTCTCCAAAAGTTAGCATTTTTGAAGGTTTGGATTACCTTATTGTACTTCATACAGGATTTTGGTGAATAACCAAAGAAATTACATGAAACCACACTAACACATAATATGCCATTATCTTTGAACCACAAAATCCCTGTTTGCATTTAGCTTTCAATGACTCTGATACCTTAGAAACTGGGACCATTTTAAGTCCTTCACCAGACTGTCCTTCTGCAATCTGGTCAGTTTAAGGGGTGGGGGTGGGGGGGAATGTACTTTGTGTACTTTGGTCAGTGAGTCACCCTGAAGAGACGTCTTATCTTCTTTTCTTGCATTCTCATGGTTCCACTAGAAACATTCTCCTTTATTTATAACCTAAGTTTTAAAATGAATATTTTTGTTTTATTGTTTTGGTGGTGCTGGGGATTAAACCCAGGGCCTTGTGCATGCTAGGCAAACACTCTACCAACTGAGTTATATCCCCAGCCCCCATGAATATTTTTATCTAAGATATTTGATTTGATTTTTTTCTAGACTGAATATTTTCATTGCCTAACTCTGATGGTCCATTGTACACAATACCTGATTGAGATTCCATTTGACTAAATGTCATTTTCTACATATGAAATGAACGTTCTGCCCTCTTTTGGCGCTCCTAATGAAAACTTAGGACACTGTGTTCTTTTGAATCCATGTGGTTCTGGTTCTACCTACTAGCTTTGATTTCTAACTAATGCCCTTTCCATGCCAATAAATGATTATTGCATAACAATTGAAAATGTGATAGGAATAAATCCTTAAACATAAATAAGGCTGGGAGAAATAAAAACTATCTAGTCAATTTAAGTAGCTGTGACAGGCAAGATTTTATGTTTTGCTGTGTTTCTTTTATGTTTTCTTTCTTCTTCTTTTAAGTTCTTAAATGAGAAACCCTTATCTGTATTGTTTCATGTGCAGTTCAGCTCTAGGCCTGCCTGAAGCACTCTCCTGCTGAGAACTTGACAGTTTCCTCTAACTAGAGCTATAGGCTAGGAATAAGAGAAACACCAGGCTTTACACATTGGTAGCCTTGTGCTGTCACAAAGGTAAGATGTAACTTTCCCAGAGTTCATTTCTGTGTATTTTTGTGATTTAGTTGGTCATCGTGGTTAGATGCAGTGAAAGAGGCACAGTTGCCAGTGAATGCTCACTCTTTCTCATGGAGATTGCTGCTGGGCTGCAGATTTTCCTTATTGTTCCTTACTCTGTATTATCTCTTTACCTTTTCTATTGACCCCAAGTCATACCAGTAATCCCAGCCTCACCACCAGACACAGATACATCCACATTCCATAGCCTTCTCTCAGCGGCTCCACTTGGGAAGTTGGAAGTGCCTGGCTTCATAGCTCTCCTTGCCAATTCCAGCTTGTGCATAGGTTCCATTGTATGTTCTATGATTCCTGATCAGTCATTATACTCCGATGTTCCAAATCCCTTCTAGACCTTACTTTCCCAGATCCTTTTGCAATTATGTAAGAATTAATTTTTACAATAAATAATCATAACATAATATCTAATGATTTGCTTCCTTGATTGAACCCTGACTGATAAAACAGGCAAATGTAACTAAATATTCAAAGTACATATAATTCTCATGTTACTAAAACAGTAAGATTAGATGTTTAAAATATGTAAAAGATGAACATAAGGAAATTACATTCTGATTATTTTCACAGAAAATGCAAAATAATCTATAGTTGAATTACCAGTTGTAACACAAATTCAATACACCTTAGTAATACTAACTAGAAAAGTAGCTAAAATATATTGGTTATTATAGTAATATAAATGTGAAGTAACCATGAATAAATCTATTAGGTGTCTGATTCCATTACAGAGAACATTAAAAATGGAAAACTTTAAAGATGACCCAAAAGAAGACATACCATGTTCATGTATAGGAAGTTTAAAAAAAAAAAAAAAAATATATATATATATATATATATATATATATGTATATATTAGTTGTAGTTAGACACAATACCCTTATTTTATTTATTTATTTTTATGTGGTGCTGAGGATCGAACCCAGGACCTTGCACATGCTACAAGAGCCACAACGCCAACCCCAGGAAGTTTTAATATTATAAAGTTGTCACTTCTCAAAGATATAGACTCAATAACACTTTAATAAAAATGTTACTATTTTCAATCAAACTTGAAAAATTGTTTCTAAAATGCATATGGAAAAGTCTGGTCATGTAAATTTAGATTTATCAGGAACCTTCTGCTAAATAACTAGAAAAACTGTTTAAAAAATAAAATGGATGCTGTGAAGAAGAATAGAATAAATAAAAAGAAGAACTAGATAAAATCCAAATAGTAATTCACTCAAAAACATCAGGCGATTACTAAGCAATAAGGATTTGAGGGGCTAAGCTCTTGGAGAGAACAAATGAAGACTGCAGAGGTGAACCTGACAGTGTCACTTTTCCTCTTTAAGTATTTGCTAATATGTCAAACACGTTATATCAGAGAAAACATTCAGCATTTGTTTTTTGGGAGATTGGCTAACTTCACTTAGCATTATCTTCTCCAACTCCATCCATTTACTTACAAATGCCATGATTTTATTCTCTTTTATTGCTGAGTAATATTCTATTGTGTATGTATGTCACTTTTTTTTATCCATTCATCTACCTAAGGGCATCTAGGTTGGTGCCACAGTTTAGCTATTGTGAATTGTGCTGCTATAAACATTGATGTGGCTGTGTCCCTGTAGTATGCTGTTTTTAAGTCCTTTGGGTCTAGACTGAGGAGAGGGTTAGCTGGGTCAAATGGTGGTTCTGTTCCCAGTTTTCCAAGGAATCTCCATACTGCTTTCCAAATTGGCTGCACCAATTTGAAGTCCCACCAGCAATGTATGAGTGTAACTTTTTCCCCACATCCTCGCCGACACTTATTGTTGTTTGTCTTCGTAATAGCTGCCATTCTGACAGGAGTAAGATGAGTAGTTTTGATTTGTATTTCTCTTATTGCTAGTGATGATGAACATTTTTTCATATAATTGTTGATTGATTGTATATTCTCTTCTGAGAAATGTCTGTTCAAGTCCTTGGCCCATTTATTGATTGGGTTTTTTTTTTTATATTTAGCTTTTTGAATTCTTTACATACCCTAGAGATTAATGTGTGAGGGATAAAATTTGCTCCCAAGATGTAGGCTTTCTATTCACCTCACAGATTTTCTTTCTTTCTTTCCTTCTTTCTTTCTTTCCTTCTTTCTTTCTTTCTTTCTTTTTGCTGAGAAGAAAATTTTATTTTGAATCCATCCCATTTATTGATTCTTACTTTTAATTCTTGTACTATAGACGTCTTATTAAGGAAGTTGGGCCTAACCCGACATAATGAAGGTTAGGGCCTGCTTTTTCTTCTATTAGGTGCAGAATCTCTGATTTAATTCCTAGGTCCTTGATCCACTTTGAGTTGAATTTTCTAGATAGGGCAGAGGGGTGGGAGGGGAAGAGAGGGAACAGGGGGTTAACAATGATGGTGGAATATGATGGACATCATTATCCAAAGTACATGTATGAAGACATGAATTGGTCTGAACATACTTTATGTATGTTGTATAATCAGAGGTATAAAAAATTGTGCTCTCAGGCTGGGGTTGTGGCTCAGTGGTAGAGTGCTCGCCTAGCATGTGCAAGGCCCTGCATTCGATCCTCAGCACCACATAAAAATAAATAAATAAAATTAAGATATTGTGTCTAACTATAACTAAAAGATAAATATATTTTAAAATGTGCTCTATATGTGTAATATGAATTTAATGCATTCTGCTGTCATTTATTTTTAAAAATCACCCTGTATCCCATAAATATGTATAATTACTATGTTAATTAAAAATAAAATTTAAAACACCTAAAAATTATTTGCTAATGTGAAAACAACAGGCTGAAAGGATATGCAAAGAATTATAAAAATGGAGCAAAGCTTGTGATAGTCTTATGGGGCTAGGAAACAAAATTCATAATTTAGCATCTGCAGAAGAAGAGTAGCCCTTATAACTAATCAAAGCTTTCATATAAGATCTTTGAATAAAAAGCTAACTGAAACAATTCCATCCTCACAGAGATATAAATTCAAATTAGGTTATTCCAAAATAGAATTAAGGTGATTGAAATCTTTAATTTTGGTGCCAGCAAGAGTGGACCATCTCTGGAGGAACATAATGACATTCAGAATCTCTGATTTCTTTAAATTTTTATATACAAAATTGCCCTCAATAATAATAAAAAAAACCCAATAATAATACTAGACAAGTGAGAGAATTAGCCAAAAACCAAAAGGGAAAGAAAACAACAATAAAACGAAACAAAAAAAGTCAATTAAGCAAACTTTTGGGAGAATCAGTTATTTAATTTATCAGACAAGGTTTGTAAAATAACTTAGGTTTACATATTGGAGAATGCACAGGATAAGAAAAAGAATTTCAGTAAGAACTTGAATCTGTAAAGGTTATAAACTGGATCCAAGCATGTTGGCAGGGACACGGGAGGCTAAGGCAGGAGGATCAACAAGTTTGAGGCCAACTTCAGCAACTTAGCAAGACCCTATCTCATAATTTTAAAAATGGGCTGGGGATTGAGCTCAGAGGTAGAGGGCTGGGTTCAATCTCCAGTTCTTCAGAAAATAAAACAAAACAAACATACAAAATGATGAAACAATAACTGAAGAGGAGAGATAATGAAAGTAAAGCAATATTTGAAGAGATAATGTATGAAAACACTCTAAAAATGAAAATAATAAAAAATGAAAATGAAAAATAATAAACCAGATTTAAAAATACTGTAAAACCAAACAGAACAAGTAGAAACAAAACAAATAGAACAAAGAAAATAGGGAAAATTTAAAAGCACTCAGAAATAAGAAACATTACTTTCAAATGAAAAATAATAAAACAGATGACTGATCAATAGAAATGATGAAAGTTAGAGGAATATAGGATATGTTTAAGATATTTAAAGACCTAGAATTCCTCATTCATCAAAAATGTTCAAAAGTGAAGGCAAAACCAAGACTTTAAAGAACAAACACCTAAAGTCACTAGAACACCCACCTGTACCAACACAAATTTTGAAGGGAAGTTTTCAGGCAGAAGTAAAATGATCCCAAATAGAATCAAGTAAACATGGCAAAAAATGAAGAGCAATTGAAAGGGTCAATATTTAGGCAAATATAAATAGATATAGACCCTGTGTGAAAAATTGGAAGTTACTGGTAAAGAAGAATTAAATAGGAGAACTTGATTTATCAGACATTGGAAATTATTGTAATGCAAATGATAACTAAGAAATGTGGTACTGTTGCAGGACAGACAAGTAGATGAATGAAATAAAGACCTATACAGAGAAACTCAAAAGATGACTGAGTGGGCAATGTATATCAGTGCATAAAAATGGACTATTAGTAAATACTGCTAAGAAGATAAATTATCCATTCACAAAGTAATACAGATTCCTACCTTACAGTGAATGTAAGTATCAACTCAGATAGAATATACATTTAAATTTGGGAGGCAAAACTATAAAGTTTTGAGAAGAATTTATTGGAGCATGTTTTAATAATGTTAGGGGAAAGAAGAATTTCTTAAATAAGACCCAGAAAAGGAAAACATTAATAAGTTATTGTTAAAATTAAGAACTTCTACTCCTAAAAGTGGACCATAAAGAAGGTAAAAAGTATAAGACTTAAGCTTTGAAAATAAATTTTAATAGATAAAACTGACAAAGGAGCATGTAAATCTAGAAGTAATAAACACTTCCAATAGTCAATAGGAAAAATACAATAAAAAAATGGTCACAAGAGGGAAGACAGGGAAATGGTAGGGAATGATATTGGTCCAAATTATATTGTTACACGTGTGCATCCTAGTATACAACTATCATGCATCAATAAAAACGTGGAAACAATGTAGAGGTGAAAAAAAATAAAAGAAACACAAATGCCACAGCAAAAGATGATCGATCACAGTAACCAGTACAATGCAAAATGAAACAAGGAGATACCATTTCATATCTAGTCATGGGCAAACCATTTTAAAGTCAGCAAGAAAGTGGATCCTCCATCCTCCCACACACTGCTGGTGGGGGTGTTAGTTGATGCACTCACTTTGACATTGTTCACTACAGGCTAACACGTTCAGATCCTACAAGCTACCAATTCTTATCTGAGACAGATATCCCAGAGAAACTCATATACATGTACATCTCAAAGTACAAATGAGAGTTCATGATACCAAAAAAAAAAAAGAAAAAGAAAAAAAGAAAAACAAATGGAAGCCATACAAAGTCATCAATGATAACATGGATTTTTAAAATGGGGTTTTATTATGGAATACTGCATAGCACTTAAAATAAGTGAGTTACAGCTGTGCATGTGAAAATGGATTAATCTGAAAAACAGGACTGCAAATTGGTGCAGCCACTTTGGAGAGCAGTATGGAGATTCTTCAGAAAACTTGGAATGGAACCACCATTTGACCCAACTATTCCATTCCTCGGTTTATAT